CCCTTCTCAACGACTGAACCGCAAAAACCTCATCTTTTTCTGTCCTAACCTCAATGAACTCATTTCCCATACTCACCGCCTGCCCTAACCTCCTCCTCTGATTCCTTATCCCCTCCTCTCTCACCTCAACAACCACGCTTTGATTCGGAACGATACGGTTATCCGTCGGAGGAGGACACGGATTCGTGATGTGAGATCGGCATATAGGGCAGCTGGTTTTAGTCTGGAGCCACGCGTCGATGCAGTCGATGTGGAAGGCGTGACAGCACTCTGGTAGGAGGCGGAGGTGCTCGCCGGAGCGGAAATCTGATAAGCACACTGCACATTCCGCGGCGGCAGAGGATTGAATGGAAGTGTAGCAGAAGGTGGGAATGGAGCGGATGGCTGCGGAGTCGAGACCGGTGGGCTCGGATGTGGTGGAAGCCTGTGAGATGTCTCCGCGGGCGGTGGAGAAAAAATGGATGAGGATGTCGGGGGTACGCCGTTTGAGGCAGCATTTGAAGACTAAAACAGAGTAGGTGAAGAGGAATGCGGCAGTAAAGAGAATTCCTGCTATGGCGACTACAGAGATTGAAAAGCTCATGTTCCAAGAAGGGTGGCGCAAGTTACCTCCGGCGGGGAGGTGATCTATGGCCGCAAGAGGGAAAAAGGAGAAATTCTTATGATCGATGTAAGGTGATTGATTACAGGGGAGGTCGGAAATGTGAAGGGAACTGGAATGGACGGTGGATGATGGAGATGCTGCGATGCGAGGTGATCTATGGCTTGGCTGGGAAGAAGCCCAAATAGTTGGAGTATTTAAGGAGACGTTAAGTATAAATATGATTAAATTTTGTGGCGGAATAAATTTAATTTTATTTTAAAATAAATTTAATATAAGAAAAATTTTTTTAGCGCGTACTACTCTTATGTATTTATATTTCACTCATTTTTTTAATGTTGAAGTAGTGGGATTGTTTATATGAATGATATGATGGTTTGAGTGGTATAAATTTAAAAACGTAAAATTTATGTATTAGATATGTAAATATATAATATTTTGGTGGCATGTATGTAAATGTTCCAACTAAAAAAGAAAATTAACATAATTTTACTTTGGGTAAACCAAACTTTCATAAAAAGTGTTTGAAGCCATTTTCAATTAGGATTTATGTGATAATTAATATTTTTATGTATATGCTTAATTTAAATTATTTATTAAAATTAAAAAAATTCAAATTAATTAATTTGACGCTATTTATCTTCATAAGGTTTAAATTGTAACATAAAATTTATATTTTTCATAAATTTATCAGAGAATCATGTTGATGTTAAAGTTATCCTGCAGAGCAACATATCAAAACAACCAAACAGATTTGTTTGTCTATTTGTTGTGGAATGAGCCCAAATCGGGCAATATTCAATTTTAAAATTTGCAATAGAAAAACAAAAAATAAAAATAAAAATTGAAAAAAAATTCTCCATGAGAGAAACAAAAGATATAAATAAGGGAAAATGTAAAATAATTTGTATCATATTTTGGAAATAATTATGCTCTTATTATTATTATTATTTTATGAATAATATATTAAAATACATCATACCATCCTAAAAAAAAAAATTAAAAATATTGAATCTAAATTTGTCGAGAAGTCAAACCCAAAAGGTTTGGCCATAAACATAAGAGAGACAAAAATTGGGTTAGACTCTTTTTATATAATCAAATATTTTTGGTACTTATGTAAAAGAGTAAAAAAGTCTTATTACATGAAAAGACCTCTTTATTTATAGTAGAAAAAAATCCAATGAAGAAAAATTACATTTCTAACTCTACTTTACGTAGGATTGTACATGTTATTCAAAAAATTAGACCAATGTAGGCCTAGGGTCTTGTTGTTCTTTAGCTCGGTCGATTGAGTTCGAAGAGGCGAAATGATTTGTCCGACCAGTCGGTCTGCTAAAAGGGGATCATAGGTCGGTCAATTCTTCAGGCGAAGGCAACTAGGTGGACTATTAAAGAAAGTTTGCTAGATTAATTTGGTCGATTGATATTAGCTGACTGAATGCATTAGGTCGAACGTCAATTCGAAGGGAATCCCTGCTGCTGACTTAGTAAACTTAAGCCATTGGACAGAGCATGATTCAGGCGTATATCGTTTAGTCCGTCCAGATGTTCTATAGCCGACATGAACCGATCAATTCTTTTGGGCCATCAGGTCACTTTCTTGTAGGTGTAGCTTTTTCAAGTCACTCTTCCTTGGGCCCTCCAATTGCCTTGAACACCTTTTTTTTTATGTACAAAAATGAATATAATATTTCTTAAAGTTATATGAATGTTGAGACTTTGTGATAGTAATAAAAAAATATGTTCATTAATGAAGATAATCTACTATTCTATATAACTATAATATCATATGTTCTAGCTTGAAATTATTCCTTTTTAGCGCTTCGTCAGAATATTCTTATAAAATGTCAGTCAAGCAAAGAAGAAGTGATGTTACAACCTCATATGAGGTGTAGCATGCATTCAACCCATAACCAGAACCCAACATTTATCGTTGCCAATGCAAGAAAAAATATTAACTATTTTGCCTTGAATTTTTCAAATGATTATATGGTCTTATTAGTTATGCAAGGCACTTTTGACCTAGCCTTGGAGTTGTAATTTGGCATTGTCTTGTACTTCTTGTCTTTTTTCAAAAGGAAAAACAAAAAATACTTTTGACTTATTTGGTGATGGATTTATCTTTCAACCAAGAGTTTATGGTTTCGAGGCCGATGCGGTCTGCGTGCATTTAAGTGTATGTTTGAAAAAGAATAAAGTGTAAAAATAGTCATCAACTATTAACATTCAGGTCGTGTTGGTTTCCACTTTATAGAAGGCCAAAAATAGTTCCCACTATTTTAAATTTGAGTTTTAATAGTCCTTCATGGGGATTATTTTTGCCCCAATTTAAAGAGTTTTGGGACTATTTTGATCCTTCTATAAAGTCAGAGACTAAAACGACCCAATCTAAAATAGTTGATGATTATTTTGATTGGTTTAGTGTCCTATTTTATCTTGTAAATCTTAATTTATGTATCGTCTTACTATGGAGCAAAACAAAATAAAGTTTACCATATGATTTACATCTTGTAAAGCATGGAGTCAAAGTTTATAATATTAAAAATGATGCAATAAATTTAGAAACAGTGGAAACAACAAAATATTAAATAGAAGTTACCATAAAATTATACATGAATGCTTATATATATAATTTATAATAAATGCCACACTCTTAACCAAATAAATATATAGAAAAAGAGAAAATATAAAGAGGAAGAAGTTTTTATGGTAGAGAAGATAAGAGGAGCAACCTATTCAACTCTCTTCTTCGTATTCAATTATTGTCTTTGCATTACATGATTATGCCTACTTTTATTACTAACATAAATAAAAGTATATTTTTATCTTCATCTATATAAAATAAAAGCTCTCTCTATTTATATCCTCTGAAGTCTAAAGAACTATTTTCTTTATGTATGGAGACAAACATAGATGAATCTCACCAAACCAAAAAAAAAATTATTGATTTAGTGTTTGAAATATTTTGTAGCATTTAATTTTCCTCACTTGGTTTTTATTAGAATTTGTATTATTATCTTAACAAGAATTAATAATGTTTTGGTTTTACAGCTATTCGGAATTCAGTGTAAAGGTTGGGAAGATAAAATTTCACATGTTTGAATGCAAATAAGGACCATCATTATAAGAAAAAAAAAACTCTCAACCCTTAGGGGATATTAAGCTATCCCTTAGTGTGCATCACCTTCAATACCCTCAACCAAATTACAATTTTAGTCATCATGAATGCGCTCTCTAATATGTATCAAAAACCTTTTGTTAAGAGTAAGGCAATATCATGCAAGTTTTTCAATAAAATTTCAATCACCAATCAGAGCAATGAGTTCAACTCACTTATGAGAAAGTTGAACTCTACGAACATCATGTTTGATAATGAATTCCATTCATTGAGTCATTTCTCCTTGTTTCTTGAGAGCCACTATCAACTACAATCACAAGTGGCACTATTATTAACTAGTTGGTTGTCACAACTTCAAAAAATAGTGGCATTATTAACTATAAAAGTTTTTTTTATTAACTATAAATGTTAAGTACTTCACTATACCAAAACTAGCAAGAGGATGATTTGACTTGAGTTTTTTTTTATGAATAACTAAACCAAACAAAAAGTTGTCACTCATTATGTAAAATTCAATTTTATATTCATTTAGCATGAAATTTTACCATTGACTTTAAAACAAAACATATACAACTCAAATTGAATCATTTGTGTTTCTTCTCGCTTTTTTTCTTTTTATTTATTCGATAGGTGATTCAACTCTCTTTTTGAAGTTTTGGTAATTGTTCCTCTTTGTTATAGATAATTTGATGCACTTAGTTGTTTGTCCTTTTTCAAATATCAGAAGTACCTTTTTCTACCTGGTTGTTGACTCTTGAAAGTTGTTACTTAAAGTTCTATGCTTTTGTAGGATTCTTTTTTTCCTAAAGATCTCTACTCAAATTCTTGAAGGCTGCCCTTTTCTTTGTTGTTGATGATGTTTTCCTTCAATCTTCTATCACTTTTTCTTTGTATATGTGAATATCACTCTTTCTTATTGTGGCTTCCGTTTGGTTTTTCCTCTTTCATGTCGATGTGAATATATAATATTTTTATTTTGTTCCTTTATTTTGTAGATGTGAGTCTTTAATTTCTTGAAGTCTTGTTGTAATTTTTCATTTTTATATAAAGCCAGGTGTGACCCTCATTTCTCCAAAAAAAAAAAACGCCCTCAACATATATTACATGCCATATGTTCAAGTTTGTTGATCAATCATTAATCTAAAGAATAAGCTTGAATTCTTATTGATCATAGATTAGCACTTAGTTGGTCAAATAAATACATTAGGTATAAATAAGTCAAGTTAAATTGAGTTCAAGTCAACTTTTATTTCCACTTAAGCTTTTGATAAATTGATCAAGTTGTTCTTCAAACTCAAGCACAATTGTGTAAGTACAAGTCAGTTTAAGAGTCAACTCATATAATACCAAAAGTAAAAATTATTTAACTAAAAGTTTTCTTACAATAAAATATAATAGTGAGATATAATAAGTAGTTAAGTTTGAAAATTATCATATAATTTTAAATCATTCTATATCAATTTATTTTAGAGGCTCTCACATACATGTCACACAGTTCTTATGTATTTACATTTCTACATCTAAACTTGCATATTTACATGCATATTGCACAAATATGTAATGTCACATAAAAAAATAATATCATTACTATCATTTTAAAACTAAAATAAGCACATTTTCAGGTATAAATTTATGATAACAGGATATTATAAGTGTTGTGAGATATGTACTTCCTGGCATATAAATGAGACGAAAATAACACAAGCAACCACAGATCGTTTACGTGGTTCGATCCAACTGAATCTACGTCCACGGGAGGAAATCAATCAAATAGTTCACTAAGGCAAAAAAAATGGAGAATACATAGCTTATACATAGAGATGAGCCCTCATCTTCTTTCTATTTCTATGGCCTCCATCTCAAGCGATACCTTGATACAAGATCTCAAGATGCTCTCCTCCTCTCTAGCTCTCTAGTTATTCTCTCTTCCTTTGTGGTAGCTTAAGATCTCTTCCCTTGCTCTCCTAAGCCTCACACCCTCTCTATTTATAGAAGCAAGAGAGTGGTAGGTGGGAGATAGGTGAGCGGTAGGTGAGCGGTAGGTGAA